CAGGGCCGGCTCCAGGCACCAGCCCACCAAGCTTGTGCTTGGGGCGGCACCTGGAGGGGGGCGGTGCGGTGCTCTGGCTCTGGCCGCCGGGGAGAGCGGGGCCATGGCCCGGGCTCCCCGCTGGGGAGAGTGGAGCCCCGGGCGGTCTCGCCGCCCGGCGCTCTGGCCGCCGGGGAGAGCGGAGCCGCGGCGGGCTCGCCGCCTTCCCCCCGGCACTGTGGCCGCCGGGGACAGCGGAGCCGCGGCGGGCTCGCTGCCCTCCCCCAGGGCTCCAGCCGCCCTCCCCTGCCGCGCTGGGGGGGGAGGTCGGCCGGAGGCTTTTTCGCCTGGGGCGGCAAAAAGCCAGAGCCGGCCCTGAGAGAGGTTGCAAATGAAATCAACTCCAGAGACAGAAGCTGAGTTTTCTACCTTTGTTATTCTTTTCTCTCCCCTTTTGTATATGTTTGTCTTGTTTTGTCTTGTAGGAAACAGCTGTCCTGCTGTCTGGAGTGGCTCATGACTGTGAGTGCCTACCTCAGGGCAGACCGTCATAAACAGGTCGGACACCCCAAATTGGTGGGGTGTTCTGTTAGATTTCACCAAGCCAGTAACGGATGTTAACACCTGGATAACTATAACCTTCATACCACAGTGTCACAGATATTCTCCAATCTATCTTGCCACCCAGGCACACTGGACTTTGTGATAAATGATCACTTACATCAAAAATCACACTGCAATCAGGTTGCTTCCAGTCCCAAGAGACCAGTCACTAGATTTTACACCAAAGACAATACATGTAGCCAGTCCTATAATAAACTATCTAAAGGTTTATTAACTAGGAAAAAGAAATGGGAGTTATTTACAGGTTAAAATAAGCAAACATACACTCAAATGAGTGACCATCTAAATCCTGAGAGTGATAGAGTTGTAGCGATCTTTCAGGGCGGACCTAGAAGGCAGCCCCTGTGGAGCTCTGGCTTCAGTTTGGTGGCTTTGGTCCTGTGAGAGTTCAAACAGATGGAAGAGATGGAAAATTTTCCCGTGGCTTTGTTTTATTTCCTTCATTCAACTTTCAAGTCCACAGGATGAACTTCCAAGGTGTGATAGAGCCATTAACCATTGCTATGTTCCTTGATGGCCAATCTGATTTTGATAGTCCTTCTAGATGGGATGGGGGAACACCTGGGTTCACAAGTTCAAAGCAAACATTTTCAAAGTTATAAAGCAAAACTTACATAGTTTCTTATAGCTTGGAAGACAGACATTGCAAGTGAGATTAATACATGCAACATTTTACAAGCACTTCACAGGGTCTAAGCTCTAAATACATTCTTATAAGACTAATACTTATTTTGAGCAAAACTAACATACAGCTGAACTGGTCTGGTCTCCAGCTATGAGTTTGTCAGTTCTTAGCTAATGCCTGCAGCCTGGGCGGGAGCTGGCATTTGGCCTGCGAGCATCACAACAGGGTTGAACTTTAACAAAACAACAGCTCTAGCTCATCTCAACTAGAGTCTTTTCTTTCCCCCCAAAAGGACAGTTATTACCATATTTAATACCAGCTAAAAGACTGTCAAACAAGAGGGATTTTCCCTTCTAAAAACTCTCAAGAGAAGGGGGACAAGGGATTTTGTTAAAATGAAAGCCTTACTTAATTCCTGTTTTCAGTGTTGTTGTAGCCATGGTGGTCCCAGGGCATTAGAGAGACAAGATGGATGAGATAATTTCTTTTATTGCACCAACTTCTGTTGGTGACAGAGACAAGCTTGCGAGCTACACCGAGCTTGACAGAGGAGCTCTGCGTAGCTCAAAAGCTTATCTCTTTCTCCAGCAGAATTTGATCCAGTACAAGGTATTACCTCACCCACCTTGCCTTACTTAATAACCTTACATTTCAAATGCTTTAGCTATTTTTCCTTCTTGTCGGTATCGTTAATAAAAGGGTAAAAAGATTTTGAATGGTGTGTTTGCCACGGTACTACGCAGTCTGTGGTCTCTGTATATCAACCCCCAAACCTTGTTTAAAACTATTTAATGTTGGAGAGTGACTGGGTTATGTTAACATCGTTGGCCCATTCATTCCATCTAAATTAACACATCTGTTAACAATAGCAGTGTATCTGCAAGTGGCGACAGAGGCTAGCTGTCCCAAGTACAATCCCACACGGGACCCTAGGTACACACTTGGGCAGCCAGCCTGTCCCATCATGTGTGTCACCATGGCTACGCTTCAATCAAAACTAGTGTGAATACATCTTCCTGAGCTAGAAATAACAGCTCCAGTGTCAATTTACCCTTATTGATACCCGTCTCCCCCCTTATAGGTTTTTTTTTGTCTTTCACCCATTCCCAAATGTGTTCCTTCTTCCGCATACTTTGGAAACAACCAGTGACAAACACTTTTCTAGCTAACTGTTCCACCCGCAGAATCCATGTGTTCTGTAA